AGTAGCAACCCCAACTAATGATGCTAGGATGGTGACCAAATTTTTAGTGAAAATTTTTTTGTCTAGACATGGCACCCCTAGATAATCATTAGTGATGGAGGAACCCATTTTTGCAATAAAATCTTTGAAAATTTGATAGAAAAGTATAGTGTGAAACACAAGGTTGTTACGACCTACCACCCATAATGCAATGGGCAAGCTGAAGTTTCTAATAGAGAAATAAAGAGGATTTTGGAAAAAGTTGTTAACCCCTCTAAAAAAGATTCGTCTAAGCATTTGGAGGATGCCTTGTGGGAATATATAACAACCTTTAAGACCCCCTTACGCATGTCTTCATATAGACTTATCTATGGGAAGGCCCGCCACTTGCCTATTGAGTTGGAGCACAAAGCTTTTTGGGCAGCCAAAACCCTTAATTTTGATTCATCTAAGGTTGGCCAAGCTAGAATTCTTCAACTAAATAAGCTTTAGGAACATATGCTATTTTCTTATGAGAATGCTGAGTTGTATAAAGAAAAGACCAAGAGGTGGCACGATAGAAAGTGCCTGAAGAGGGAGTTAAGTGAAGGACAACATATTCTTTTGTTCAACTCTAGGCTAAAGCTTTTCCCTGAGAAACTTAAATCCAGATGTTCTGGGCCCTTTAAACTAATGAAGATTTATCCTCATGGGGCTATGGATCTATTGAATGAAAGAACAAGTGAAATTTTAAAAGTGAATGGCCAAAAGGGTGAAGGTGTATCATGGTGGATCCTTAGACAACACAAGGGCCACCATGCATTTGATTATATTTGTTTGATTTTTTTTCTATAGTCAAGCTATAAGATTATAAAATAACGTTACTGGGAGGCAACACATTTTAACTTTCATGTTTTAGTTAATTTATTTTTCAGATGATTTGATTGATGCAATAAAGTGGGGAAGAGTCAGTGATGAGTCCTGTCATGACTGGTAAAGCCGAGAGAGTATTTCACAAGAAAGGAGAACAAATAATGATGCTAAGTCCTTTGAATATGTCATGAAGGAGGCACGTGTTGGGGCACGTGAGAGAAACAAAAAAAGCAAGTGGAGAGAGAGTCCTATGTGCGTGTGATAGACTGTAGCTCTGTCAGCGTGACCTCACATAAGAGGTAGAGCATTAAATGTTGCTTGCATGCTTTTGTTAAGAATCATTGTAGGAAGTAACCATCACCATGTCCTAGACTGTCCAAACCCTTTCTTTTGTCAAAATTCAAATTTTGCTTCTCTAATTTTGTACATTGCATCCCTTTTATCCAATCCCCTAAACTTCCACTCATAAATATAACCTCCCATCACTTCATCATTGGGTGGTGTATCTTGTCGATTGGTTATGGATTGTCTCGGATCGTGTTGACACCCCGAGAAGTTTCCTATTCATCTCCTTCTTCCCTATGTATCATTCCAATAGTGGGCTTTGTATGTATATCTTTACTCTTTATGTATGTACATTTGTTGATCATGAGATTGTATGAAATCTCTTTTACAAATTAATACCGGTGTTTATTATTGACTTTAATTTTATCGCGGAGTTTTGGTTTGTCATAGACATATGCTTTCCGAATCTCTTTCTTGAATGAATATCTATTAGGTCCTAGACTCTAGACATAGATTTAGGCTTAATAATCATGCGGGTATTGGTTATGAAATGCATCCAGGTTGTTTGAGTTGCACGCGAAATCGCCTCCGAGAGCAATTCGGGTGATGTCTCACTTTGTGTTAGAGATAGCCTTAGTGTGAGCAATACGTGATGGTATTGACGAGTGATTTAGATTGCGTTCAATTGATCTGCAAGTTTAAGTATTTGACGGGTATAGTGAAATGCAATTCTAGAATGAATTCTCTTAGGCTGCAGATGATTGCTTATCGCTTTCTTTATTTGCTTTATTTACTTTTCCTGCACTTTTTCCGCAAAATCCTTTTCCAAACTTAGAAGGATTGAAACTGTTAAACGGTAGTTTTTCCCTCTCACTAATCCTTATGGAGACGATATGATATACCCTATAGAAATACTTATTTTTGTTTGCCGCTTTACCGTTTTTCAGCAGCTAGATTCTGGTGGGGTTCTTCTAAGGAAGGCAAGAAGATTCATTGAATGAGTTGGTCAAAGCTGTCAAAGGGTAAATTTTTAGGAGGCATGGGTTTTAGAGGGATAGGTGACTTTAATCTCAGTCTTCTAGGCAAGCACTTCTTGAGGCTTTTAACAGGTGGCTCCTCTTTACTGCAGCGCGTCTTTAAGAGCAAATACTAACCTAGAACTTCCATTAGAGAAACTATGACATGCTTTACACCTAGCTACGCATGGAGGAGTATAGTGGGGTCAAATGACCTAATTGAGGAAGGCTCAAGATGGAGGATTGGTAATGGGCTCAAGGTTAAATCTGGAAGGATAATTGGCTTCCTTCTGGTGCAAGTTTCCAGATTCATGGTCATGTGCGAGGAATTATGAAAGATGCACTTGTTTGTGAGCTCATAGATATGGATTTTCATTGCTGGAAGTGGGACCTCATCAATAACTGCTTCCATCCCATGGTTAGATTTCAAATCCTTAGTATACCTCTTTCTTGGAATCAACTGGATGATAAATTGATCTGGCATAATGAAAAAGAGGAAGATTACTCATTAAAGTCTGCGTATCATCTTCTTGGTTGCATGAGAATTGCTAATACCCCAGGCCCATCAAGTCACTTTCAAGAAAAGTTATGGAAGAAGCTTTGGGCAGCCCTAGTTCATAATCGTGTCAAGAACTTCCTGTGGAGAATAGCTAAGAATATCCTCCCCACTAAGCAGAACCTGAGGCAAAAAGGAGTTAACACCATGCTGGAGTGTTCCTTGTGCCATTACGAAGACGAATATGCCAACACCCTGTTCCTCCATTGCATCATGTCTAAGCAAGTTTGGTTTTCTTCTCCTTTTGGTCTTTGTTTCCCTCCCTCTTCTGATGTGAAGTTCTGGTTGGGTTACTGGCTAAGTGCGAGTGATTCTTTTGGTGTTCAACTTGTGTTACTCTGTGGAAAATCTGGGAAGGACAAAACAAGGCTATTTTTAGGGATGAAGTTTCAGGCTTGAGGTGATTGCTGAATGGGCTTTGGAGTGGATTCAAGAGTATTCTTTCTCAAATTAGGGACCTAACAGTAAGAGAAAACCAGAGAGAACCAAGGTTAGAGAAAGTGAGCCTAGAGGTATCAAGTCGATTCGTGTGGATGCGGGGTGCTTCAATTATAGCTCCATAGCTATGGGGTGTGTGACCAAGAGTCAAGATGCATGCATAATCTTTAAGCTACTAAGAGGGAAGACATTGCGGTTGATCCTACTACTGCAGAAGCTTAGCAGTGAGACGGGCTTTAAAATTGGCCTTGGACCTGAAGATGGAGCAAGTGGTGTTGTATTCTGAAGCATTAGCAGTTGTAGATTGTTTAAACAACGTGATCTTTAATGCTATTTAAAAACCTATAACTTTAGATTGTTTGTCTTTGCTTACGAGATTTCAATTTGCTTCTACTGTTCATGTTAATAGGTCATGTAACCAAATAACTCATCATTTGGTTGACTTAGGCCATAAACTAGGTTCTAAAACATGGTTAGGGAGTGTTTCCTAAAACCTGAACTTATCTCATGTAACAGGCTCTTCTTTCATCTAATAAAATAGTCTATGATTAAAAAAAATCATGAATCTACATGAATATGATAATTATACTCACTATTTGTAAGTTTTTGTAGACACATTTTATACTACACATCACAAACCATACATTAAGTATCAACATTATTCATGAAGAAGTAAGTGATAATAGTGGTGCAATTGCCAACTTCAGAGCATGATGAAATGTATGTTTGGTTCTGCAGTGATGAAAATTAATTCTAAGTGAATTGATTAAAGTGATTTATATTTGATAAATTTATATAAAATGAGTTGAATAATAAATTTTAATATAAAAATAAATAAAACATAAAATTTTAAAGTTAAAATACTTTTTTGGTCTCGTATGTTAACGTCAAGGTTCGTTTTGCTCTCTTAATTTAAAAAAGGTTTATATAGGTTTCTTTACTCTTTAAAACACTTAATTTTAGTTATTTTTATCTAATTAGCGATTAATTTAACGACTAATTTTTAAGTTTTTTCGCTGTTAATTAAACAAAAAAGACTAAAAGTTAAGAGACTAATATAAATTTTTTTTAAATAAATAACCAAAATAAATCTTAATGTTAATATATAAAACCAAAAATAATATTTTGTCAATTTTAAATGAAAAATTCACTCAAATTCTCATCGACAAATTAACAAGATTAACAAATAGATCAAAATGTCCTATTAAAACAATTCAATTAATAGTTGTGCTATGACATCTTTTCATAATTTCATTTTTATATAATATTACCTCAATGTGACACTTTACACCGTTTAATAGTACTAATGCCTTTAATAATACTAATGCCTTTCCTTGCATATATTTTAAAATTGACTATTGAATTGAAGTCAATATCAAAATCAAATAAATTGACAATGTAATTTCACATCTGCATATGTTAACATGAGGTTGATTGATCAATTTATGAAAGTTTATTATATAGTAGTTGCACACCCTACCTACACAAACCCACCTTTTGAATCCAAGCCTAAGCACATTCAGTACCTAACATATAAAAACCAGAATTCTTAAAAATAAACCATTCTGCACCACATACTTGTAGCAGATTGAGTTTTTAATGAAATCACATAGCAACATAAATGTCCGAGACAGGTGAGTGAGTGTCTCAAATCAAACCAGCATTCACTTTCCTTCCAAATCACATTTTCTCACCCATCCATCATCATCATCATCGTCATCATCATCATCGTCATCATCATCACAAGTCACAGTAGTACTATACATTTAATGTAAACGTTGACGAACAAATCAAAGTCTCACCATTAAATATTCAATTTTTTTATTATAATGAAACTCAAACACACACTCTCCCTCATATCTTCATCTTCTGCCATGGAAGCACATCTCAAAATCTTCAACCCTTCTCTTTTCACTCGCCAATTAACCACCAAACCTACTTTTTCTTCTTACAATTACCATCATCTCCCTCTTCGAAAACCACCCAGAATCTCTTCAACTCTTATTCGTTCTTCCCATTCACCAATTCCAGCAAACTCGGATTCTCATAAATTCTTCTCTTCCCTTACATCTTCTCAAAATCTCAACTTTTCAACACCCAATAAGATTCTCAACAACCCCTTTATCTCACATTCTCAATATAGAAATATTGTTTGGAACCCAGCTTTTGAAAATGGGAACGAGGGTTTTTACGGGAGTAACAAAAACCGTGTTGTTACGGTGGTTTTGTTGGGGTGGCTTGGAGCGAAAACCAGACATCTCAGAAGATACGCTGAGTGGTACAATTCGCGTGGTGTCAATGCGGTTACTTTCGTTGTTGATGTAAAGGAGATTCTTGGATTTGACCTTGGGCATGTGCTTGAGGAGAGAATCTCTATGTTTGCTGACCAATTGGTTTCCTGGGTTTCTGCTGAGGAGAAGGATGGGAGAGAGAGGTGTTTGGTTTTTCATACTTTCAGTAACACTGGTTGGTTTGTGTAAGTGGATTTGGTAATGGTTTTTTGAGGATTGTGGTTTGTGTGATATTTGTTTAACTGGTTTTTTTTGTTGTTTTTGTTGTAGGTATGGTTCAATTCTTGGTAGGTTTATGGACAGTCATCATGTAATGGAGAAGGTTAAAGGAAGCATTGTTGATTCTGGTGGTGCAGAGCCTTTTAATCCTCAGGTACTACGAAATTTGAATCCTTGAACTTTTTTTGTTATGTTGCTTAATTGCTGTTCTTCACCTTAGTTAAGTACAGTGTAGTGTATGTATAATGTATTGTGTCTTGGTGCACAAAAATTGATTTTGATTGGAGTGATTATGTAATATTATGAAAAACTAAACATTGCCTGGTTAAACTAAACTTTCTCATGAGTCTATAAATATACTTCTAAGTTCTAAGACTCATCAAACATGTTAACAAGTGTTCCGGATTGGACAAAATTGTCTTACATTGTTTGGGAATCGAAACTAAGAGTAGTTTATATATAACACCCATACATTGGGGTCATGTTCACATGCTCGCTCGCACCTTGCCCCTTAGCCTCGACTGTTGGCAACTGTTCCGGGATGACCAAAATAGTCCCACATTGCTTGGGAATTGAGACATGGGGGCAACTTTTCTGGGCTGGCCAAAATAGTCTCACAATGTTTGGGAATCCAGACTATATATAGTTTATATACAACACCCATACACTTCAACTCAACGAGAATAAGTGTAATGTCTTATCCATATAGGAGCAATAACCATCTATTTTCTTATATATGAAATTAGATAACTTTGTTTATAGCCAAGAAACTTTTTCATAATGACAGCCAAAGTATACTTAAAGTCTTTTACTTTAGGTGTTGAAAATGGAAATAGAAGACACTTAAAGTAAACCACAGGGCCTTAAAAGAACTAAGCAAGCACATAAAAGTGACTAATATTAGCATTAGAGTGCAATGAGGCATTTTTTTTTCTCTCGATTTTCTGCGAGGACCAACAAGCCATTCACAAGTAAGCAAATCTACCAAACAATTTTGCATAAACAACAACTTTATTGCCAAACGAGAGATGATCGATTCACCTTTTTCTCAACCTAAATCATTTGAAGAATGGGGGTCTCATCTCATTTCTTGTGTCTCATCATGTTTTATGTCATGATTTTTTTTATAAAGTCCATCAACGAGTCTTTGATGTAATCATCTTAAAGTAAAATTCATCCGGGTTTCTACTTGCAGCTTTTTCCTGAAGTGTCTGTTAATAAGATAAGTAGAAAAACAACTAATTATAAAATGACACCAATCACAAAATTAGAATCTAAACTTGTAATACACCCATAATGTGTTTTGTTTTTCGTGAAAGGCTTTAGCGACACTAACATAGTCTTTGTGATTGCAACGGGGTGAGAGATTTAGTTACGGTTGACCACGCTCTTTATGTGCACGTCTGCGAATGATGTTTTTCAGCAACCACATATAGGCGACGTCAGAGTATGCCCTGTTGTTTTTCCTGGTTGCAAAACTAGTTCCTGAGTTTATAATGTTTTTCTAATATAGATTATAGATATCATTTTTGGTTTTAGTTGGACCCTTAACTTGATTTTTCCTCCAGTTATCAGGTTGTTTAGATTAAAACTGTTGTGATATTTTCCCACTGATTTCTTACTTTAATTCGTTATGTAAATATGCTGAATATCCTATTGATTTTATTTCTACTAATTAATTAGTTAGATTAGTCTCTTATACGTATTGTTATAATTAAAGGATTCTGATTATAAGTCATCTGGATAAATTCACAGGGAGGGTTAGTCTCTCAAGCAATTTAAACATCAAGCATCATTTCACTTCAAACTCAATTTCAACCAAATCACTTTTGCAAATCAAGTTAACTCTAAATGTGCTTTTCAACAAACTTGATTTTGTAAAATGAATTTGGTTGAAATTAAGTTTGAATTGAAATGGTTATTGTTGAATATTTTTACCGCAGAAACACAAAGAATGAATTGATTTGGATCTAATGCAGGGCTTTTATTTCTCAAGTCGATGTTTGAATCAACTTTGATTTGTTGTTTATTATTCCCTACCTTTGGTAATTTCTTCGTAATTCGTATATGAGTTGTCAAATTGTTCTCTTTTTCCTTGCAGGTCTGGGCTGCTGGTTTTGCTACCGCTATATTGAAGAAACGTAGCTCTTCAGCACAAGCTTTAGCCGACGTAGGAAGCAAGCCTAAATCACAAGCAAAGATTCAACAAAATGAACCTTCCATAACTGAAATCGTAGTGTTCTCACTATTAGAGAAGATATTCTCATTTCTTTTGCAGTTGCCAGAGTCAAATCAGTAAGTGTCTTCCCTCCAAAAATCTTATATCAGTCACTACATGAATAAAAATGTCGCGTGAATAGCATCAACGCTTAACTTTGTTGATTGGAACTTATAATATATACTTCAAAATGGAAAATACTAAGCACATTTTTTCGATCTCTAACACAGGAGGTTAAATAAGGTTTTCACTCCCCTCTTAGAGCACCAGCCTTGCCCTCAACTCTACCTGTATAGTACAGCCGACAAAGTAATCCCGTTTCAATTTATAGAAGCCTTCATCGAGGAACAGAGGAAGATGGGAAAAAATGTGAGATCATTTAACTTTGGTTCATCTCCCCATGTGGATCATTATAGAAATTTCCCCGACATATATCTATCGCAAGTTGCTGAATTCTTGAACGAGTGTTTTGATAATACAGACAAACAGACAGCAGATGCATATGTTAAGTTCCAGTCCAACATCAAGGATTAAATATGTAATGTTATTTTTAGAACAGTAGCAGCACTAGTATTGAGCATAGAATAGCTAAAATTTATAATTGAGTCTAGACTAGTATTAGACCATTTTTCCATCACTCTTAAATTTACATCTTCAATAATGTTTTTGATTCAAGTATATCATCGTTCAATTGGAAAAAGAGAAGACATAATCATTCAAAAAGTTTAGTTTTTACATTCAAACACCTAAATGAATGAGCATTTCAATAACAGGAGGGAGCAGTAAGAAAAAACTTGAACTTTTTATAAGATCCTTGTGATGAAAAACCATAATTTTGATACTATTAAATGGACCAAAAACAAGACAACTAAAAAGTGTGAAGACTTTTCACACATTAGTTTCCAACTGAAACCATCCAATAAAAATTGACTATCATGAAGAAAATTATTATTAACCATTACACTCCTAACGTCAAATCATCTTTAAAGATGATAAAAAAACCACACCAACATTCTCAATACCAAACACAAACAAAGTAATTTCTACTCTCCATCTTATATAAGAAACGATGACACCACCTATCTAATATAAAAGAGTTCATCAGAACTAAGTGCTTTTTCCCTTCACATCACATGTAATCCATTCCAACTTCCTCTCACAAAGTCATGATAATTCCGCCCGATATAATGTTGGGTCAGTTTTTAGAACTGTGTTCATTTTTTACGGGTCGGTTCTAAACCGGTTCATATTAAAACAAGTTTTTTTTAATTGAACCAATTTTAAAACCGGTTTCGATAATTCTCAATTCCATCAACGAAACTTGCTTTGACTCTGTGACCATGGCTGTTGAAGATGATCCCATGGTGGTTCCCAACCTCTCTCCACCCAATACCTACGAAGCTGTTGTCAATGGTGGCACCTTTGACCGATTGCATGACGGTCACCGCCTCTTTCTTACGGTATCTCTCTGTTTCCTTTCGGTTTTCAATCTCCTTTGATTATTTCCAAAATTTCTAATTTGTATATGTACACAGGCTTCTGCTCAGTTGGCAAACAACCGTCTTGTGATTGGAGTTTGCGATGGTCCTATGCTTGTAAACAAACAGGTTCCCTTTTCCCCCAATTCTCTATATATCTATTTTCTTCTTAATTCTTTTTTCTCTCGATTCAATAGTTTCCTTCTCTATTACGAATTGCTAATTATATTGCAAATAATACCGATAATTCTTACTTCTTAATGCCGTGTGTCCGTCTCCGATACCCACACTTGTGATTACTTAATATTTTTTCAAATTAGTACCGGTCTCGCCCCTGTCACTGTCCGATAATTCTTACTTTTTAGGAATATTTTGAATTCAAAACTATGGATAATCTTTAGCTCTCTGTTTGCAAAATTTCAAACAATTAAGCTTACTTTGGTACCTAAACAGGGAAAACTATTGAATACTGCAGGTTCAATGTTTGAAATGTTTAGCTCTTAAAAACCAGTGATATAGCTTTTATCTGAAGATATCTTTAATAAATGATATAGAAGCTGCCTAAAGCTAAAGCTTTTTGATCATGTTAACTTACTTAGCAATACAACATCGATCGCTATATTTCTATCTGACAATCCTCTGGCCTGTGGATTCTTACATATAAAGGAGTAATTATATTCTCCTTATGTTTTCCTTTCATGTTTAGATTTGTAATTGCAATTTTGTGATATAATCCTTTTTACACTTGTGCAGTTTGCTGAACTCATACAACCAATTGAGACGAGGATACAGAATGTCAAAACTTTCATAAAGGTTCGAGTCCAAGCAATGCCGATTTTTCGTTGTGTTCTAAATTTATGATACATGAAAAAGAAGAATCTCCTGCGTTTTTTGTAGTTTAGTTTGAACAAAACATTGACATGGATAAGGGGTATATTTATACACATCTTTTAACATCTGTCTGACAACAAATATTTCAACTGACATAGTTTTTTTTTTTAAGTATGAGGTTGCAGAATTTTGTATTGTTAGTTTCTATTTGGTGCATAAGTGTGATGATAAACGACATACTAATCTGCATCTAACTGTGTTCCGTCAGTTGTATATGGTGATTATTCTTGCAAGATTTATTATATATTTTTTCATTTTAGTTGTGACTATGAATTTGATCTAACATGCAGTCTATTAAGCCAGAGTTGGAAGTGCAAGCTGTACCAATTACAGATCCATATGGCCCTTCCATTGTAGATGAAAAATTGGAAGCTGTGATTGTGAGGTTTGTTATATAGCATACTTGTCTGTACTAGTATTGGATAGTGGTATGAATAGACATTATAAAATTTAACTTGTGACCAGACATTTCATTCCTAACAGCTGTTGTGAATGTGATATCGGTGTTTCATGACAATTAAAGTCTTGCTGTGATAGCAAAATAAGCCAGATGTTTGGTCTTAGTTGTGGGAAAGAGAACACTAGTTTTTCTAATTGATTATTACTCAAGAAAAATAAATAGTTGAAATCAAAGATTAAATGATTTAATGGGTCATCTCAAAAGGAACACCTATCGGCTAGCCTGATATAGCATTGCCATTTTGAAGAGAACTTTGGTGTGGTCCTTTAACAAGGGATCACCCTAGAACTAGACCTGAGCAGGATATCTTATCTTCTTTTTCTGTCAATTGTTGTCGTGATTTTGTGACATCTTTTAGATAGTTGCAGTATAAACAAATGATAACTCTATATATAGAGTTATTTGGTTACTAACTGTGGAGTTGGTTCTCTTATAGCAAAGAGACTTTACCTGGTGGGTTGGCTGTGAACAGAAAAAGAGCTGAGAGAGGCCTTTCACAGTTGAAGGTTTTAACTTACTGTTTATTTTGTTTAGTTGTTATTTCTTACATTAAAAAAGTCAAAAGAAAACATGTTTATACTTCTCAAAATATTTCTGTCACGCATTAGAGATATTTCTTGATGGATTTGTGCAGATTGAAGTTGTAGATTTGGTCTCTGGAGATTCAGGTGAGACTAAGCTGAGTTCATCAATGTTGCGAAAGCTTGAGGTTGAAAATGCCCAAAAACAAAGTTCAATACCACGGACAGAGTAGTAAGAAAGATTTGTTGACATGTATAAAAACAAAGACCGGGTCTAAAATGTCCATTAAAGCAACTAATAAGCACGTGCATCAGAGTCGAAGACGTCCATTGAAGCAACTAATAAGCGGATGTAGTTCAACGATGTATTTATTTTTTTAAAGTTAAATAATCACGTGTAATAAAATGATTGTGGTTTTGTTAGGACACATATTTTCTTACTCTTTGAAATACCTTTGACTAATAAGAAAATATTAATGTTGTCTTGCCCAAATTAAGAAATATGTTTGAACCCGGGAAAAAAAAGATGATAAATACCTTTGATTTATAAGAAATTTGAAATATACACTTACCTTTTATCACTTCACTCACTCATTTATTCTAGTTTTTCATAAATGTAAGCGTGAAATAATTGATAATGTATGAGTGTAATGGTCAAAAACATTTAATATAACATTGGAATGATGATTATGGAGGTATTGCACATAGTATTGGAGATATATTACTTCCAAGTAGTAATGGGTGCTTAGTAGTGGTTATACATAGATGTAACCACACATTAGAAGGTAACTTTTATCATTTTGTAATATTCACTTTCATCAATACAATACACATTTGAGCTTTTCTTCCTTCTCTTCTACGAATGCATGCTATGTTTCCTAATATGTATTATCCACCTTGAAGGATCTGTTGCATTCCTTTCTTCATTTTTCGTTTTCCTATCATTGATTTCATTCATGTTTTTTTCTCTCTTCTGAGCTGCATCATTTCTTGTTTCTCCTCTTTCTTGATTTTCGCATCTGATACAACCATTTCTCCTTCAAATTTTGAGTGGTTCATTCTGATTTGATTCTGATTTTGTATTCATCTGTCATGTTTTTTTTCCGATTCAAAGCATAATTTATAGTCTGATTCATCTCAATTTCGTTCGATTTTTGGTGTCGTCAAGTTTCATCCCAATTTCATCTCGACTAGATTGTGATTGCGTTTTTGTTTTTCTTTAGTTCGTTCTACCGATTTTGCTTGCTTTTGTCATAGATTCTTGCTCTGATTCTGTTTTTTGATTCTTGCTCTGATTCTGTTTTGTGATTCTCACAATTCCAATTCTGATTCCATTGTTTGGAGGTGTAACTTGATTACAATGTGCAATTTCGGCCTATATTTTGCAGATCGATGCTTAATAATTCTATGTAACTTTTGGTTCTTCGTATCAATCTTGGAGGTTTCATATTTCACTTACTGTGTTGAAGATTGATTCAATTCTGCTTGAGAGACTTCACCTGCAGAATATTTTAGGTGTCGTTGCATATGCAGAAGATACTATTTGTTGCAATTGTCTTTGTTGGTTTTTAATGGAATTGCATAATGCTGGACTGCTAGACTATTATTGGTTCGTGGCATAGATTTTTCTTGGACAGGTTGCTTATTGCAATATTATCATGGTATGGTCAAGTATTTTTCATGGTATTGAATGCGACTTCGAAGAAACGTCAAAATTCGGATGGTTTCTTTGTTTAGTCTATAATGGCTTTGTTGTTTATGCTTCTACCAAATGGTTAAACTTTGAGATATAGTTCAACTTGGTGGTTAAGCGTTGTGCCTTTAGTTAAGCTTTGTTGACATGTTTTTGTCTTATGGTGGTTAAGCTTTGCTGCTTTTGTTAAGTGGTTAAGACTTGAATTGTAACTTTTGTTTAATAGTTAAGCATTTGATTGTTGCTTCCAAGTGGTTAAGCCTTTAAATGTGGTTTCCACTAGATGGTTAGGCTCTTGCTTTTATGGTCTTAGTTTCATCCTATGTTTTTTTACGACATCTCTGTTGGTATCTTTCTTTGACTTGATATGTCCTTTTGTATTGCTTATCCCAAATTGAAAGTGTTGTGAGAATTTTCTTACCTTGCAGGTAATATTGGAGATATATATATATTACTTATAAGCTAGTGTTATTAAGATAGTAGTAATTGGT